GAGGATGCTCGGCCTCGGCAGCGAGGCGCACGCGGGTTCCCGTCGGTTCCCGGCGGCCCTCGCTGCGGCCGTCTGCCTCCCCGCCTCTCCTCTCCGTCTACGCAGTTGCCTCCGCTGTCAGTCTGTCCGTCCACCTCGCCTCCCTCTCCGTCTGGCTGCCCGGTGAAGCCGCGTGTCTGCCACCCAGGCTCTGCCCCTCTCCCTGGGAGTCGCTTTTAGGGCTGATGGCAGGAGGTCTCGGTGGGGCTTAAAGGGGCGGCCCAAGGCAGCGGGCTGCGGATTTATAGGGCTCCCTCCTGGGTCAGCAAAACTCCGCCCCCAGACCTGCCCGCACCCTTTCCTGCCAGGACAGGGTCGGTCACGTGAGTGTCTGCTGGGGGTTGGGGCTGGAGGCTTCGTGTAGCACTCACCCCAGATACCATGGGCTGTTAATGTCTCCCGTTGACTGGTGGGGAAACTGAGGCTCAGAGATGGCATGTCACTCACCCCAGGCCACACAGCCGGGAGCAGTGGTTTCAGCGTTCAACCACCGCTGTGCTGTAGTACCTTTGAGCTACTGGGAACTCACTCTCCCACAGGGCTGGGGGTCACTTTCAAGGCTGTGGAGTCCTCTAAGGAAAACTGGACCCACTTGAACCCCTTTGCCAACTGGACCCCCTTTCTCTAGAGCCTAGGGGGAGTGCATCACCAAACCCCACCCTCAGGCTAATCCAAATGGAAGATATCAGGGTTCAAATCCTTAGTGCATGTGTACTGGAGGAAGTGTGCTTCTTTCTGGGCCTCAGTTTCCCCATCTGTAAATAGGAATAAAAGCTCCTGCCTCAGAGGAATAAATGGAACCCGCATAATACAAACCTGGCACAGACTAGGTGCCTTTTCATTTGTTTCTTCATTTATTCGTTGGTTCCTTGTCAACGTGCACTGGGTGTCTGCCCTGTTCCAGGCATACCGTACTAGGAAGGTCATGAGGAGGGGTTGTCAGTGGCCAGGAACCCGAATAAGTGGTAGACCCATGACTACCTGGGAAGGTAGTGTCTGGCATGAGCCTATCACACAAGTGACACCAAGAGGGGAAGTCCCTTGCTTGGGGTCATGCCATCAAGGGACCCAGACACTGTCATCTTGGGGCCCTTCGCTGGGGCACCCGGAGGGACTTTGGACTCTGGAAGCTCTAACCTCTGGTTCGCCCTCCAAAAGCTGGGTACCCTCCTCCATAAGACGGTGGGATCTAAAAATGCGCGGGCGGAATGCTAGGGTGCTGCGGTCCTCAGCGGCCTCTGTCTCCCCCTAGTGGCACCCTCTGGCCTACTCGCTCTGCTCAGGCTGAGTCCAGCGTACCCCCGGGCCTTCACGAGTGACCCCAGGGACTCTCTCCTCTTTATATATGCGATATGTAGGCCCCTCTCCTAGGGTTCCGACACAACTGTCACACGGCCATCTGTTGCTCATGCCAGGAGGGTGTGGAGGACACCGAGTTCCTCTTCCTTTCACCTCCATTATTTTTCCAGGCCCGGGCACGGCATTTTCTTGGAAAACCTGCTGGGAAAGGGGAAATCCGGGCAGGGATCCCTTCCCGAAAAGCCATGCAAACATGAAAACATATGCAAACTGATGCCAGAAAACCTGCTCTGTCTCCCCAGGGAGGTTCTTGGAGGCGGTACCATTTGGTGCCAGCACCCGTCTTCCCCTACCCTACCTTAGAGGGGGGTCCAGGCCACAGGCTGACATCTGGGCTGAAACCCGTTCATCGAGCACCTACTGTGGGCAAGGCCCTGTGCCAAGTGCTGGGGACCTAGGTGGACCCATCGGTGCACAGGATCATGACACTGATGCAGCCAGCAGATGAATACCCATCCCAGAAGCTGATGGATGACAAGAATGTTGGCCTGGAGGCAACCATTTGTGGGGCCCATGGGTGGGGCACTCCGGGGTGGTGAGTGGAGACCTACAGGCAGAGAATGAGCTAGGCTAGGCTGGGGGAAGGGCCCTGAGGTAGAAAGGAACTAGACAGGAAGGGCCACCAGAGGACTTTGAGCCTTGGTGAGGGATGTAGATTTTATTCCAAGGGCACTGGGGAGCCACTGGAGAGTCTGGAGCAAATGAGGGATCCAATCAGTGGGGCCTAGTGGGATGAACCTAATAACAGACCTAATGAGATGGGGAGAAATGGGTAGATTCACAACATTCTGGAATTTGGGATGTGAGAGGAGGCCCAGAGTTGGGAGCCCTCGGGGGGTAGGCAGGACCATCTCCTGTGCCTGCTGGGGAGTTGGAGCAGGAAGCCTGGAGGGAGGCAGGGAGCAGGGTGGGGAGTAGTAGTACCTTAATGGGAAGAGGGCAGGCAGGACTGCAGAATATGAAGGGTCAGGGATATCCTGAAGACCCAGCTGCTTTCGTCTGAGCAGAAGGGGCAGGCATGTTGGGGTGTCACATGTGTATCTGCTGCCCTTTGCTGTCCACTGCCTGGGCATCCTGTGCTCCCATGGCTCCCTGGAGACATGGCAAGGGTCAGGGGTGAGAGGTTGTAAGCTACTCTGGCTCCAGCATACTCTACTGGGTCCTTGAACTCATACCCTGTACTCAGTAAAAGCAAACCTTTATTCCCCTCGTGATGCCACTGTGAGATTCCAGGAGTCTAAAGTCTTTTTTTTAAAAATTTATTGGTGTTAGAGACAGAGAGGAAGATTGATTTGTTGTTCCACTTACTTACGGATTCACTGGTTCATTCTTGGGCACCCTGACTGGGGATTGAATTCATAACCTTGGTGTACTGGGATGATGCCCTAACTAACTGAGCTACCCAGCTAGGGCCCAAGAGTCTTGAGGACCCTATGATCCCGATTCTCAAGTCTTTCTGGGTCTCAGAATCTGTTGGGTCTCCTGGGATTCCCCACTCTTCTTGCCTCAGCACCTTCCCTCATGGTCCTAACTCAGGAGATGGGTGCAGGGTGGGCCAGAGGAGTGGCTATCTCCCCCAGAGCTCCCAGCCTTGCCCTGGAATGACAGCTGGCACTTGGACATGCCCAGGAATGGGTCCTGGAATGCCTGTGGTAAGGGTGCACTGGGGTCCTGCCCTGTCTGGGTAGACCAGAGTGGTGTCAGCAATCCAAGTACCACCCGGCCTCACCAGCCCCACTTCCTCCTAATTCTGGCCTTTGCTCTAGGTGGTTCTGGCACAACACCCTGTGAAGACTGAGGGCTCAGTTCAGTGTCCCACCAGCTGCTCTTTGCAGGGTTTATGGGGAATTGCCAGGCAAGTGGTTACATGGTAGAGTCCATGGACAAACTGGTTAAGAGGATGGGTCGATGGCAAGGGTGGGTGCATGAAAAAGTTGAAGTTAGGGAGTTGGGCTTACTATCCTCAGTTCAAGGCCCCTCAATAATGGGATTGACCCCACATCTTGATTGGGGAGGAAGGGGGCAGAGCCCTCCCTACTGGTTCCCAGGTTGTAATGTGGATAAGGCCTCAATGGAGCCCCAAGGTGGGGATGAGGTACCTGGTGGGCCTTTGTGGGGCCCTGAACTTCCACATTCCAGGTGGTACATCCTGGACTCTCAACCCCTAGCTTATCTGAAGCCTCCCCACCCCCAGATCTAAGGGATCACCACTCCCTTTACATAAAAGAAACCAGGGCTGAGTAGGCAGTGACTTGCCCTAGGCACAGCTGTCAGCGTCAGGGCCCACCTCCAGGCCACATCATGAGTGATCTAGCAGCCACCCAGAGTCAGGAACCCAAGCTTTTTCCACCTAGGTGCTGGCGGCCAAGGATGGCTGTTGGAGCATTGGCCATTATTCCAATGGTATGGGACTTCCTGGAAATAACACACATCACTGCTATCACACGGCCACCCCTAACTGCCAGGTAGGCTGGGAGACTCTGGGTGGGATCTAGATATGAAGAACCTATTACTGAGGAAGGGAAGAAACATTTTGGGCTAGTTTTTGCCAGAAACCACAACAGATAAAATCCACAAGACAAATGTGTTTGCAAAATGGGGAGATTTTTCTTCCAAGGTTTTGCCCCATACAAGGTTTTACAAATCAATAAAAAAATAACCAGCACCCCAGTGAGCCAAGGTTATACAAATGAACTTAATTAGGGGGTAGGGGCAGTAGCTGCTTCATAGAAAAAGCAAATCCTAAAATGTGATTTTTCAGCCATCAAAGTTTGCTAACCCACC